CTTGCCAAACTTTTACGTTTTGACTGTAGCCCCATGAATGATAGCGAAGTCTGGGCACCTGGCTTGCTATCATAGCTGAAGGTAAGGGTGAAACAAAAATTAATGGCAATAGCTCTCCTCCCACTCGTAACATGAGGCTTGAGACTCTCTTATAAGCGCATGTTAATCAAGTTTATTATCAGGCTTACCGCAGACAGCTGACAGAAAGCCAGACAGACGAACGGACAGACTGACAGACAGATTAAATACGATAAAGGAAAGAGTGAGTGGAAGGAAACAAGAAAATGGGTTATGCTTGTGAAGAAGTTTGAATGAGTAAGAGAGAGAGAGAGAGAGAGAGAGAGAGAGAAAGAGAGAGAGGGAGGGAGAGAGGGAGAGGTGGCAGGAGAAAGAATAAGTGTGGGTGAGGGGTCGGTGAAAGAGAGAGAAAGAGAATGAGAAAGAAAGTATGAGGAAGACGTGTAAGCTACCGCTGAAAAAGACGATGAGATACTCACAAGTCTCTTGAGACACCAAAAATGGACAGTTGTCCAAGATCCCTGAGTCCTTCATTCTCTGGGCACCATAAACATCTCCAACGATGTTCAGCAGGTTGGCTGCCACAGGATCTGCAGCAGGTAAGGTCATCATCATCATCATCATAATCATCGTCATCATCATTGCTTTTCTCAAACACTTTCACTAACAAGCACTTTCCACTTTCCTTTTTCTTGGGTAGCTTCTTGACAGTGTATTCCATGTCTTTTCACTTTTTTGACGAGAAGATGATATGCAGTAAAAACACTAAAAGATGTGTCTCGTCTCTGGATCTCTTTAATCTATACGGCGAAATTATACTGCATGACATCAGTGATCTGGAAGGAGCCAAGTAAGACGGCCAAAATGTGAACAAACCACTGACTGCTGAAGAGGCAGTCTTGGTATATAGCTGATTCTGAGTTCAAGCTCCATGAGATTCTAACAAGAGTGACAGAGGAAAAACAAAGAGACGGGGCCACGACTTAAAACCCCAAAATTGTGATATGGTATAGATTTAACGCCCCTAGCAATACTGTTAGATTATTTAACAGGCGGGACCTCAAAGTTTAATGTCCATCTCCGAAAGGACCGGGCCAAGTGAAAAATTCGTGTACAGTCCTTTTCCCAAGGACACAACGTTTGACCGAATTGAGGCTCGAACCCCCGAACCTGCATTGTCACGATTACGAGTCCGGTAGCGTAACCACTAGATCTAGACGCAAACTACTGAATTTCAAGACAACAGGATGAATGGTGAACTCAAAAAGTGCAGACATACTACATGTAGAATGCAACTTCAAATGTGACAACGAAAGAATATAACAGGTCAACTGGTTTAAATACTCTGGTTGCGCAATTGCACTAGAAGGACGAAAGCGTTAAAAGAAAATATTCAAATACTAACAAATAGATCTTAACATTAATACCAATATCTTCTTTTTGTTTCCTTGAGGTGTCCAAAGCACCATTACATAATTTACTTCCACGTTTTGCACTGAAGTTCTTATAGTCAATAATTATCCAATACTAATAAGATAGTTAACGTGGCATCCGAAAGGACCAACAGACCAAAAAAAAGGTAACTAAGAAAAACAGACATGCTCTAAAACCCAAAGCAACTCACCCCCAAAGGCACCCGGAATGTTGCTGAAAAAGTCGACAGCGCTGAACTGGAATGCATTCCTGCTGAGGACACCGAACATGATTCCCTTCACCATATTTACGTCTAGGGAGTAGGACTGAGGGACAACTATGAAGAGGTACACATTGGCGTAGGGACGCGAGGCGCGGGGCCCGTGGTACTTGTCCACTGCCTGAAAGGGAGACAATTTGTTATAAAAGAGTAAGTACATAAAAAATATATTATATATATATATATATATGTATATATATATATATATATATATATATATATATATATATATATATATATATACAAGGTGATTAAAAAAGAATACGCCAAAATCACCATGCGATGTTTAAAAACAACAACACGAAAAACAATAGAGGACGCTACCTTGGACACATGTGTTGCACATATCTCCAAGCTTTTATTTAATGTTTACAGGTGCTCAATGTGGTCCCCTCTGGCAGCACGGACAACATCATGCCGACATGATAATTCCTCCTAAACGCGCCTAAGGATGTTTCGGTCCACCGTGTTGATCGTAGCTGTTACTCGTCTTTCATGTTATCGATATTTGCTGGAAGTGGTGGAACATAAACTTTGTCTTTAACATATCCCCACAAAAAAAATCACACACTGAAGTCCGGGGATCTAGCTGGCCAAGCGCAGAGAATGTGGTCTTTAGCACCTTACCTACCAATCCACTGCTGATGCACGTTTTCATTCAGAAAAGCTCGAACCCCGAGAAGCCAATGGGGCGGTGCCCCATCTTGTTGAAAAATGAAGTCATATTGAAATTTGCAAGCAGGAAGGTGAATAGCCAGTTCTTGTGGGGCTGCGTTAGACACAACGTTTATGTTCCACCTCTTCCAGCAAATATCGATGGCATGAAAAATCGAATAAGAACTACAATCATTGAGACATCCTGAGGCCTGTTAGGGAGGAATTCTCATATCGGTTTGATGTTGCGGGTGGTGGCTACATTGAGCACTTTTAAAGCATGAAATAAAACATTGAAGGTATATAACACATATGTCGAAGAAAGAGTTTTATACTGTTTTTCGTTTTAAGAAATATTGCGTAAGGATTTTGGCATATTTAAATCGTGTAAGGATTTTGGCATATAAAAAAAATCACCTGGCACTGGTGTCCAAAAGCAACTTACAAATGTTATCACCCAATCATCGTGTTAAAGCCTGCCCTACCCACCCATGCAGCATACCAACTTAAAGCTAAATAAATTCTGCATCATCTGACACATTGCTATCTCGTCTATGTCAAGAGTCTCCCCCTATATGGCCACTCATATTTGGCCTTAAAAAATCAGACTTGGCAAAATTGGGTGAAATCAAATAAACGTAAAATTGTTTTCGCGTGTGTATTGGGGAGCATCATTCTGAATAGAACGGACATACATTGCTTTTCCAATGAACGGAGTAATTTGTTTTTGCAATAAACAATATGTTATTACGATAATTTCAAGCATAACGAAAAATAGAGCAAACATAAATACCATGCAAAACATGGTCTTAACATTAAAAATGATTATTGTTATTTTGATTAGGAGCCATTGGTGTTGTGTAGAGCACTAACCCTTTGGGCATCCTAGCTATTACATTTTGGACATAATTATCTGTCATTGCATAGCAAATGCCACAGAAAAGTGCGAACAAATGGTCTGAATTGGAACAAAGTTTCTATTCTTCAGCTGCTGTTTCATGGGGCTTCACATACCTGTAGGATTCATATCGGGGCTTTTTACAGGTGACCACGCCAACGTTGATATGACTTTTTTCCCCAAGAATTGTCTAGTGGCATTGGTTCTGTGAGAAAGTGCTTTGCTATTCATGGGAATGTCTACTTGAATGATACCATGGCGAAAATAAGGGTAGGACATGACATTCCAGCACTTGGGCGATGTAGTCCACTAAACCAAGCCATCCGACGATTCTCACACTAGAGGTCCGTCCATTCCACCCCAGTCCACCCAAAAGCATGACAGTAACAGTTCCGTGGTCTCTGTTCATCACCGACAGACGACTATCTCCAAAGTTTAACTAACACAGTCCATGTGCAAAAAATGTTTTGTGCCATACACAATACCAATAGCTCTTAAACCAAACGCAAAAGGGTATTAATTAGCACCTGTAATCGTAAGTCCAGGCTTTGCATGGCATTTGTGACTGTTTTGTTTTTCAATCTATTTGAAAAAATACCCAGAAGATGCTGTTTGTTGCAGAACAATAATATTCTCTTTTTACCTGATTTCAATACATGTTCACTCCACCAATGATAATGCACCTTAACAAGCGCGAACACACTTTTATGTGTTTTTTTTTAAATTTCGCACAATTTTGCCAAGCCTTATTTTTTAATGTTAGCTTTGAGACACCTTATCTCAGAAGTCTCTTAACATAGATTATGAGGTAATAAAATGTCAGATGGTGCAGAATGTATGTATGTATGTATGTATGTATGTATGTATGTATGTATGTATGTATGTATGTATGTATGTATGTATGTATGTATGTATGTATGTATGTATGTATGTACGTACGTACGTACATATGTATGTATGTATGTATGTATGTATGTATGTATGTATGTATGTATGTATGTATGTATGTATGTATGTATGTATGTATGTATGTATGTATGTATGTATGTATGTATGTATGTATGTATGTATGTATGTATGTATGTATGTATGTATGTACTTATATGTGTATGTATGTATGTATGTATGTATGTATGTATGTATGTATGTATGTATGTATGTATGTATGTATGTATGTATGTATGTATGTATGTATGTATGTATGTATGTATATTTCTATCTATCTCACGCGCGCACCCCCCCCCACACACACACACACCCACACGCACAGACACCCAAACGTTGTTTTTCTAGAATCTACCTCTCCTGTGGACATATCTCCATTGACGGCGTTGATGTAGAGTCCGTGCAGAAAAAAGTTACCGACGTCCCATACTATGACTGTGTACTGCACACCATCCTGAGATGGCCACGTGACCTCAGGTGTGTGGTCAATAGACCACAGACTGACTCTGTTCAGTGACAACGGATCCAGCTTGTAGTTGGTCAGTGCTGGAGCAGTGAAAGTGTGACCACAAGCAAAGAACTCACCTGGAATTTAAAAAAAAACATACAACAGAAACAATAATTGTCATCTTGTGATGAAACATTGAATACGTCCTGCAAGTATCCTCCTCCCCCTGCCTTTGGAAAAACATCAACAAAAAAACAAACAAACAAACAAACAAAAAAGCAACCCACAAAAGAAAAAAATAACAACAACCTTGAAAGTCTTCACGTTTGTCGGCAAGCTAGTGC